TCCACCCTGCTCAAACACTGGGACTGCCACGAAAAAGGAGGCCTGACGTTCCGCTTCAAAATGAAGTCGCTAGTCCTCAGGATCCTGTAGCATGACGGGAAGAGGCGAACCAGAAATTAGGCTGCTACAATCGCCCCACGTGGTCCGTTTGCGGGAACGGCTTAGGTTTCAATTCGGGGCAAGCACACAGCTGTGTAAATATTTCCTTTTTTCCCCCCCCTCCACGTTTCAATTACGAGACAGATTCCAGTTCTGAGTTTTAGCCAGCAACCGGGAAGAGACCTAGGAGCGCTCATCTCTCTCTCCTCTCTCCTGCCTGGAGGCAAACGGGAATGAGAACTCGCCCTGAACCAGAGGCGAAAACGTTTCAAGGGGCTGGACGTCCCGAACGGCTCGGGGCGGGGGGGGGACAGGTTCGTGGATGCTCCAAGATCGATGAATCTCTTCCAGGTTGGACAGGCCAGCAGGCTTCAAGACACACCTCTTGATTTGGGGGGGGGGATTTCTCTCCTAGCAGCCCCATCCAGAAGGGGGCAATGGGTGGGGATGATGGGGCTTAGAGTCCAGCAAAATTTAGAGATTGCTAGACACTTCTTCCTGCTCTCAACACTAAAGCGGTTTCAGGACAGCTGGCCAAATACACTCATAGGATGCTATTCTGCAAAATATACATCTAATTGTAGCAACTCAGGGGTGGTAGGGAGGGAATACCAAAATGGGCATTATCCAGCCTCCTTAACACCTTTGGAGCTTCTCTATGGATTTATCCAACATATCGATGGGGATTTGGCATTCCCGTTCATCCCAGGAATCGTGCGGTCAGTGTTGTGATCTTCCTTAATCTCCAAAGTGCAGGTGACAAAACGGCCTCTCGGCACCACTGGAGAATGGACGAACGTCAGACTCAAAAGAGCAAACCGTATTTGGGAAATGCAGAAAAAGCAGGTAGGATTTATAATACAGAAGAGCCACCCTAAGCGCATGCGGGTCCAAAACACGGGAATAGTGGACGGTCAGCCAGCCTCGAGGGATGCCCCACGTTGGGGAGTTTTGCAGCAGTCCAGTCGGGAGCTCAGCAGCAAAAGTCAAGATGCCCAATTATTTTTTTGATGAGGAAAGGGTGCGTTTGGGACCTCGGCCACGTTGTCTTCTCACCTTGGAGGCAACTTCTGTATCATTGGACCGTAAGTCCATTGAGGAGCGCTCGCCCTGCAAATCTGCGCTTTCAGAGGGAGCGCAACCCTACTTCAAGGCAGGCGATGTCCCTAAACCTTCATCCAGGGCCCCACGTTGCCCTCAAAAGACCTCCCACAGCCACGGCCGCAGAAGCGGCGGTGACACTGAAGTCCAACCATGCGCTGGCTTCCCACCTTCCCTCTCTCCAAGACGGCCACTCACAAGGATGACCGGGGCGGCCGCCTGGCCAAAGGTGGGCTTTAAACAAGATTCAAGATTTGGTTCCTTCCAAAATTGGTTCCACCACGGCCGGGAGCCTCGAGAAAGGAGTAGGGGAATCCCGATGGAAGTTCGTGAGAACCGCCAGGTCTAAGAAGGATCTCCGACTCCTTGGAAGCAGCTACACTAAAGCCTCCATGTCTTCGCTGCCACCCAGCCCTCCCTGGGGAACCCAACCAGGGCGACCTCAGATAACCCACATTGAGGGAGGCAGAAACCCAAATGGCCCTTGTCCCCTTGGTCTAAATCAAGAACATGCCTTGGTGGCCTCCAGAGATACCGTAGGCAATAAGGAGAGCACCTTCCCGGTCTTGTTCTACTACAACCCCCAGCGCTCCCCCCTCCCTGCAACGCAGATCCATGATCCCTCCACTGCTCAGTCGGGCAGTTACTCAAGGAGAGGATGGGGGCCACAAAATAAGCCCTCCGCCATGGTGGTCCGTGGTCTAGGTACTGGGGCAGGAGGCTCCTACCGTCCACCTCCAAGGCCAAGCCAAGTGAACTAAGGATAAAGAACATGGATTTGGCCCCAGCTGGTCAACCCACCGGTGTTTTCTGTCTCCAGTGAGAGTCCCACCTCCAGCATTTGGGTCAATTCTTGGCATCTCCCTCTTTTCTTCCAGCCCGGCCCCCATGCAGGGCAGGCGATGCTAACTCAGCTCCCGGGGAAGAACGGCATCCGACTTGGACGCTTCTATCGGGGCCCGTTTTGTGCCTTTTCCCCATCCCCTGCGGCATCTAATTTTAACCCAACTCTTGGGGGGGGGAAGGCCTCCCCCTCTTTCCCGTGGGAGCCTGGCCCCACGTTGGCCAGATCTGTTGGAAAGGGAGATGCCTGCCCAATGTTGGGGCCGCTGAGAGGCGGGAGGGAAGCTGACCTGGCTGGCCTGGCCTGTCCTTCCCGCGTCCTTCGGAACCGACGTTTTCCTGCTTAATGCCAATGGTAGAAATAAGGAAAATAAGAACAATCAGGTTTTCCTAGTCATTCACGTCTCCAGATGGTCACCACATTGCTGAGATCTAAAATCCCCAACCGTTACTACGGATGGAAAATGGCCAAGAGAAGGGGCGGGGGGAGAAACACAGAGTGCGCTTACCAACAACAACCCACGCAACCAGCCACCAGGGACTACTGTGTGGGGGCCAAGGACACAAACAGAGAGAGACAGGACCCCCTCCTGCTCTGCCACTCAGAACAAGGGCGTGTGAGGCAAAAAAAAAGAGGGGTGCCCCAGGAATGACAGCCTCGTGAGAGATGCGTTTGACAAACGGGGCTGAGCCCGTCTGGAGGTCAAAGGGACCACGGGGAGAAAACCCACCTCCATGCCACATCCGTTAGGACCACATCCTCTTTGCATCGGAGGGCAAACCCAGCTGCCTGCAACATGGCACCGGCCCCTCCGAGGGAAAGATCCTCGGCACCCACGGACGCTGGACGACGAGACGTTCAGAAAGGGCGATCAAGGGCTCTGACCGTCCAGTATTTCGCCTTCGCCTCGTGCCCAGGCCGACTTCCACGGATCCTTCTGGCTCTCCCCACTCCCCGGTCCCCTCGGCTCCCCGCTTTCCTTATCCAGGGTCTGCATTCACCCTCTTCACACCCACCGGCCCTAAAGAATGCATCTCATCAGGCAGAATAAAACCCTCACACACAACCCCAACTCCTCTCTAAAAATGCTCTTCTACGAACCTCCATTAAACAGGGTTACCCTTACAGTGGGCCCAGACGCCCCACCACAAACCTAGATAAAACTCTTAAGACCCCCGTGAGCTTTGGCTCACCATCAACACAGCCCTCGTTCCTCCTCAGCCCCCTCCCCAAGTCACCGGTCCTCCTGGTTACGAAGTCCCTTCTCAGTATTCCTCAATGGGGATGTCCCCCCATCACAAAATAATACCCCCCCATAACATCCTTCTGCCACGCATGCCAAACCACCCCCATCAAAAAAAAGAATCATGTCCCAGAGGCCCCACTCAGCATCCTCCTGAATCCCTGTAAGGGACGGTGCCCCCCCCCCACCCGCAAACACCCGGAGTCTCAATAATGTTTCCTGCCTCCAGATTGTCGCCTCGACCCCTTTTCTTTTGCTCTCCTGGATCCTCCAGCGTGGAGCCGGATTTTCAAAAACAGCACACACCCCCACTATCCTTCCTCCCCACTCCGAACCCCCTCGAACTCCAACGCCACCCCCCTCTTTTGGAGGAAAGGCGGATCCTAAATCCTGTAAACAAGAACTGCAATAACCTGGCCGCAAAAGCAGCCATCCCACGCCTCCCTCAAGCATCCTCTTCGGGTTTCCCAACATCGGCTTAAATCTGATTTTCATCCTCAGACTGCAATGGGGGCGGGGGGGGTGGATGAGAGGTGGCCCCTCCAAGGCTGTTTCCCCTTCAAATGTCCATTCACTAAAGAAAAAAAGTTTTTTCCCCATAAGAAAAAAAACCCCACTAACAATAGCAATAAAATTCCCAGGCACAGTGACTCGCTCTTGAAATCGGCCACAAACACCTCTCCCCAGCAGTGTTTCTAATGCCAATAATAATAATAATAATAATAATAATAATAATAATAATAATAATAATAATAATAATAATAATAATAATAATAATAATAATAATAATAATAATAATAATAATAATAATAATAATAATAATAATAATAATAATAATAATAATAATAATAATAATAATAATAATAATAATAATAATAATAATAATAATAATAATAATAATAATAATAATAATAATAGCCTCATATGACCTCTTTTTAACCCCATTTGGGACAGTCTACAAATAATGGGGGTCCCCAATAATTGGAACCCCCCCCACAAAGACTTGCAAAAATTGCTCACTCGGGACTGCACCCCACACAATCCCTCTCTGAACCCCATTGGGCCCCTTTAGGACCCATTCACACACCCCCAAACAAGACCCCAACCCCACTGGGTCACCCCCTTATTTAAGGACACCCCAATTCTAAGGGGCACCCCCATGCCCCTTCTC